GTTGTTGTTGTTGTTGTCGTTGTTGTTGTTGTTGTTCTTGTTCTGGTTCTTGTTGCGTATTGTTATTGTTCCACTTGTTGCTGCTGCTGCTGCTGATGCCGGGGTTGATGTTTCTTGTGTAGTGCCTTCTTGCCTCGTACTACAGCTGCGAACATGCGGCTGTCGACACTGTGTGCCCCTTGGTCCACGAGCGCCTCCAGTGCTGCCCTAAGCCACTCAATGCCACGGCGAGCGAGACGCCTCAGCTGCTGGTACTGCAAACGGCTGCAAGTAACGATGCAAGGGACCCTCGCAACGTCGACGCTGCAACTCGCGCAGAGATTAAGAGTAGGGAAGCCCCGGATGAGACCTCCGAGGTGGGTGAAGATCTTCTGGGCCCCTAAACCCCTAAACCCTCAAACCCTACATCTGCCCACTTCAGAAGTTAAGACTACTCGGAGAAGCTCCTGACGCAACCTCCGGTCTGAAACTACATCCTGGGTCATGAATCCTACAGCCCTTGCTCCCTAAACCCTCAACCTTACATAACTGGGTAGTTGTCAAAATTATGGCCCCTTTTGGGTACCGTGAATATCAAGTGCCCTAGTATATTAGGGACGCAAAAAGAGACCCTGATTTTGACAACCACCCTACTCGCGACTGTGCCATGGCAAACCTCTCCAGCTCGGAGGGCCCGGCCGAAAGTCAGAAGGACCTTTAGGGGGGGTAGAGGGGAGGGGGGTAGGGGGCCTTAATACCTAAGGACTGAAAAGGCCGATTTAAGGAATTATAGTCCCTTACCCCCCTCCCCCCTAAGGGTCCCTATGAGAAAAGTGAACTGAGGCTTCCCCTGTGCCGAAGGGCCCTTGATGTCATCAACTTCCAGGGACGGGCCCGGAGCCATTCCGCTGCACTTTACGGCTTCAGGGCATTTAGAGTTGAGCGGCTGAGAGCTGTTTTGGTTCATAGCTTCGGGGTTAGGGATTGCTTGGAGGTTCATGGGTAGTTATAAGTCCCCTAATATGGGCTATAACCGGATTAAAACTCCATTTAAAAACTACCCATGAACCTCTAAGTGGGGAGCCTTGGGCCTTCTGGGTTTCGGGTTTTGCGGAGGGAAAAGTGCTACAACCCAGGGTCAGCAAGGGTTTAGGATATGCCCCCTTAAAGCCTAAGCCCCAAGCCTAAACCCTGAGGGTTTAGGAAGCCGTTTGCGGTCTTGGGCCGAAATCATGCCGGAAGCGTCCTAGGGCAAGGTCCTTGTAGCCGTAGCCATGGTAAGGTAAGGTTTTAGGGTTGTCTAACCAGTGGTTTTGGGGTTCCCTTGGCTCTTTAGCTCCTTATTCAATAGGGATTATCATCATCCCTGGCTCCGTAGCTCCTCCAATATCAAAGGTTAGTTGTAGGGTTTAGGGACTTGGAGGTTTAGGGGCTAGACTTCTGCTCGGCAACAGAGCCGCCATGCGGAGTCCCAAGAACCGTCGCTGCTCGTTGTCCAGCTTACTGAACGCACCACGGGTCTTGGTGATAGGTTGCGTTTAAGATCATACTTATGACGAGGACCCAGACATGTCGTACAGTTTTCGGTCCAAGTATATCCTATAGGCTAAGTTCTCCGGACTTCCCAGCTCTTTGGTGGACCTTTCACCCTTCTAACCCAAAACCCTCGCCCCGAACAGAATTAGTTATGGTGCCCACGGATGGTGCTCTGGCTTCGGGTGTATGTCTCGCCTGCCGCATACCGAGATGAAGGTGAGGGCCTCTCGTCAATACCCGCACTCACATAGCTTAACAAAGGGGCTTGCCTAAACTAACCCTAAGCCCTAAACCCTAAACAAAAGCGGCAAAGCCTAAACCCTAAAGGCCTAAACACCAAATAAAAACCGTAAACCCTAAAACCCCAAAAACCAAAGACCCGAAGGTCAAGCTGGCGCAGGAGTCACTCGTTTCTTGAGTCCCGGTTGACCTTCAGGGCCCTGGGGTTCAAGGATTAATGCAGCAGGGCTGGGCGTTTAGGGTTCTCTGGTTCTCTTGATTTTCGGGCTCTACTTAAAGGATCAGGGGACTTAGTAAGTAGGTTATACTTGGGGTTATAAGTCCCCTAAGTGGGGTTGTCCCAATTATAAGCTACTTATAACCTTACTTCCTAAGTCCCATGAGCCTTTAAGTAGGGCTTCTGTGTTGGGTGTACGGTTGCTTGTTGATAGGAGAGCCTACATGGGAAGAGGCCAACAGGACGGTCCCTCTCTTGATTTCCCCAACAACACCTGCGCAAGGGACCTAGGTTTAGACGCTCCCTTCGCCCAGTTGGCCTGCCAGTCCTGCCTTAATTTCGGGGCCCTAATAATTAGAATCAGAATAGGCTTCAGAATAGGGTTTTGGGGCCCAGTATACCATAAGTACATTAAGGGAGCCCCAGAATTGGGCCCATAAAGTAGACCCTAAACCACAACAGGTCTCTTTGACCCCAAGTCGACAGGAACCTACCTTGCTGCCTACTTGCGAAGCAAGGCAGTTATGACAAAAGCTTACCATGTAAAGCTTGACATTTGGTGGTCCATATATCCAGAGATGGGGATGTGTTCTCCTATGCCGAAGACGGGCCAGGAAGAAATAATTCTACTGATGTCCGGAATGGTGGACGTGCAAGATGTCATGATTCAGAGTTCCGGCCTCGAAACCACGACACTCGCCAGGATTGCTGATACTACCGAAACATATCAAATTATGGTTGCTGATGTCGCTGCTTTCTGTGGACTGCCGCGAACTTATACGTGCTGCGATTCATCTGGCTACATGCGGCTACACATGGCAAGGTTGTGGCTGTAGGGCTAAGCATGGCAACACGAACCACAGCTATGTGCAGACACAAGTACGTCATACGGTCTAGATTAAACTACTTACGGCTTGGTGCCGCAAACCTGGAACCCAAAAAGGCACTAAACACAAGGTTCGTGCATTTTCGAAGTTTTCCATTTAGCCTGGGCAAGTGGCAGAAGGCAACAAGAAGACGGAGTCCGAAGTCAGACAGGTGGAAAAGGCACTCCGGATGTTGCCACAGGCGTGCAGCATGTCCCGGATGATGGGGCGATAGCAAACGAGGATATGGTACAATTAAACCCTAAACCCTAAATCCTAAGTTGTCCTCCCCGCATTCGCATTCAAACTTAACAGTATCTCTGGGAGACTTGCCGTTTGTGATGAACCAGCACCAGCAACATGCAGTCACGGAAAACCCGGCTCCCATTCAGCTGTCATGAACTGAGAAGATACATTTGCTAACAGTCCTTCTCCGGGACCACTTCAGTCAAGGCAGCGGCACCAAAAAACTAACTTCTCGTCACCCTCATCAAGCAATCCCAACTACAGGGCAGAGGGATTCCAACCTTGTCAGTCCACCGGAAGCCAGAAGCCTCTGCAACGCTATCAGTTTCATGCAACACATCTTTTTCTAGGAAAGCCTAGGAGCGAATCCCTAAATCCTGAACCTGGCGAGGTCACGCCAAGGTACGCCTGGCCCTCCGTGATGCGTGCACAGACACCACTAGAGTCACGGGATCAAAACGAAGATACCGGCTCACCTAGACTCCAAAGCATATCATCATCTTCTTCTTCGGTCGCGGCAAGAGAGTCTCTCGTCCAGCGGGCGCCTGATCAGCCACCTTTGGTGGCCGGCCGCTTAAAGCGGCAGGCGGATGCCCCTTAGTGGAGCGCCAGCAAAAGATGCACCTGGGTGCCGTATCGTGGGAGTTTTCCACACGATTTAAAAGAAGTCTCACTGGTAGCGGAGCCTCTCAATCATCCAGTCGATGCAAGAATGAGGGCTGTGCCTGAAGCTGGTCGTCGTCACCGGTCGTATGGAGTTTGTTGTGGGCCATCTTGCGAAGAGATGTCCACTGATTCTCCATGATGTGGACTTTGTCGATCAGCTTGCTGAGGGCTTGCTGGATGGATTGCATGTCCATCGCCAGTGCTTCGATTTGAACTCGTCGCAGGTACAACTGGGACACTATCCAGTTCAGGTCGTCCTGATTCAGGAAGGGTTGCGAGGAGTCTTCTCGAAGCTTCCGCGGCATGGGAGGAGCTATGTGCACTACCTGTTGGATGATCGCTATCGGGTCTGAGGTCCGACAGCACGACAAGCACGAGATACACATTGGTGCTGAGGTGCTCAAGCTGATGCGAAGTGAGCAGTGTCGGACTTTTTGCATCGTCATAAAGCCAATGCTCCGTAGTCCGACGAAGAACCGTGGTGTAATGGCCTGCATTGGGCTGTGGACCGTGGTGCTGGATGTATGCTACGGCTGAGTAGTTTATCCATTGCACTTCCAGGGAGTGTGGATTACAGAATAAGGGGAGCTGAACCGCATTCGGGATTAGGTAAGGATGTTGCCGCTTCTTAGACCACCCGGGGGCTATATAAATAAAGCGGGGCAATTGCAGGCAGACCCAGTGAGGCTTCGTGGTAAAGGCCTGTGCACTGTCTCCACGGTGCCAGTCATGGATCAAAACCTGCAGGTCCACGGCTTCAGTGGGGCTTTCCGATCTTAGGGCTAGGCGAATGCACTGAGTGGTTTTCCCCTGAGGAGTGCACTGAAAACCCAGGTCTGTATCTGATCGCGACTCCCAGCAGCCTAAGTTGATATGTCCCGCTAATCTAGGATGCATGAAATCGAAGAATTCAGCAGTGTCATGCTGTCGGTGAGGTGCCGACCATCCCAGGAGTCCGAACCCCAGCAAGCGTTCAGCCCATTGGGCTGGCCTTGCTTGTTCCCTGAGGGCCAACGGCAGGTGATGTTGCTGATCGGCGATTTTTGCAGCATACAGCACACCATACAAGAATGCATTAATGTAGCACTGGTTGTGGCCCCCTTGGAGTGTAGGTCCAAGTAGGGGCGCGACCGCGGTGGTAACAATGTCATCCTCATCATTGGCAGTCCTGCGAGAATCAGCAGTTAGGGTTGGGGGGTTATCAGCCGTATCAGCCGGATCAGCGGGCCTTGCCTGCAGTGCCCGCGGTTTCATCGACGGCGATAGGTGAGGTCGGCCAGTTGCCGTGCCAATGGGGATTGGGCAAGGCTGTCGCGTTTGATCGAGACCCCGATGAGGTGAGTCACTGAACAGGCTGCCAGCTTGGCAAACGCTTCGTGCATCTCCAGCGAGGTCTGGCCCCGCAGTGAGATCTCGAGCTTGAAGGTGGTCGACTTCACGGTCTGCATGTCGAGCTTGTGGAACGGAGGCATCGACTTGAAGGTTTGGATGATGTCTCCCTGGAGCTCCTTCAGCATCCAGGTGATCAGCCTGACCAGATCGGCATGCTGGAACGGTGGGCGGGTGTCCTGCGTGAGCTGCTTGGCCTGTCGGTCCCAACGAAGGTAGGCCCAGTGATGGTCCTGTGTGAGCCATCCCCGGCTCACCAGAGTCGCCCGTCCTTCCTGTGTTGCTGTTTCCTTCTGAACTCGATTGAGCAATTCCTGAAGCATCGACTGCAATAAGAGAGTCCTCAGTGGAGAGTTGAGCTGATCCGGCGTCTTCTCCTTCTTCTCGTTCCATTCTTTTGACACTGCCATCAACTGCTTGAGGATCCCTTCTTGTTCGTGCTTGAGGAATAGAACAAAGCACTTCTCGTTGCGAAGGTGGCATATTGTTTCTTCTTGCTGAAGAATGATGCGACTCATCAGCCGAAGGGGATCTCGTTCCTGTGGCGCGTGATACATCGGCATCGGCGGCGGCATGCCTCCTCCCCTGGGGGGGAAGGCTGAGTACCGATTCTGGAAGGAGTGTTCCGGTCTCGGACGTTTCTGCGCTCTGCTGGGTATCATGCTTGGCGCCGGTCCCACATTGTAGCAGTGAGCGAATATGTCCGACTCCAGAGGGCCCAGGTCCTCCAGCTGATGATCTCCCCACATGTTGCTTCGGCTGTTGCTCACGACAAACCAGCACTGCTACCACTAGTTGGAAGAGCGGAACACACTGTGTGGCGTGACGTCCCGGGGCTCCTACTTTGTGACCACAGAAAAGGCATGTCCTATCTCTGGTGAGGTGGGCCTTAAAGGGCTTACACATCTCAACCGCTGGTTTGAAGAGGTGTCCGTAGGCGTCAGCATGTACTTTATTGATGTGCTGGCGCACATGCCTGAAGTCCGCGATCCACTGATGACAGATGGCACAGTGGTTTTGGAGCTCTCTCATCAAAGGTGCAACGGTAACCCAACGTTCCCAGTGGCTAAGCTTGCTGATGAAAGTGTCTCGCATAATGAGAGGCAGGTGCTCAACTTTTTGCCCTTCAAAGAGGTCCACTTGAGCCGTGGGCGGTACAGCCACCGCAGCCATTGCCTGTGACGAGTCAAGAGGTGAGCGAATGAGGCTGTCTCCACCGAGTTGACAACATGAGCCGCCTTCGATGTGCAGCTTGAGGTGGGACCACCGATAGAACTGCCGATTACACAGCCTGCATTGTGGCATCCCAGCAACAGCATGCAAATGTGGCTGAAAGACTGTGGGCGTCCTCGTGGAGTGAGCCGGGAGGAATTTGTGAGTCAGCTTGGCATGTATCCTCATGGCATTCTCACTAACAAATGTGGCATCACAACTAGGGCAGCTGACCAATGCTTGGGTAGTGGGTTCTTTGCTGATGTGCTTAGTTTCCTGCCGGAGGGCTTCAGCAAGGTCAGATTGGAGCGAGTCCAACCTGGCAAAAACCGACTGGGTGGTGGTGATATGTTGTTCCCCGGTGTTCAAGGAGAGCAATCTGTCCTTGAAGTTGTGCAGGGTCCGCTGGAGGACGACACCCGGCTGATCGAGGCCTGCTCGTTCCCACACTGTGGTTGTATTAACGTGTGTGAGGTGAGCGGGCAGACGAAGTATGGCTCTCAGGTGTCGGGTAAGAGCACTAGTGACCCTACGGAGTGCCGAGGAGTTAATGCCTACAACCGGAAGCGAGTAAAAAGCACTGGAACACACGCATGCCTGCCACAGTCGGATTCTGTGCTCCTGGCTGAGATGGTGCGAGCCGTTCAGGGTCTTGCGAAGCCCCTGATAACGCACCTGGCAGGCTTTCAGCCGGTGTGCCGTGTTCTTTTCAATCCGGCGGTGGTACGACACAATGGAGCCCAGATATTCGTGTTCAAGACGGATCGGTACCCCGCACTCCCTGTCATGCACCATGACTCGGAGATGAAGTGTGCCCCCCTTCATGAATGTGGCTGCTCGCCGGATGCGCTTGGCATCTCTGCCGACAAGTCTCAACAAGATGGCTGTTTTGTGGTAGTTAATGGTCATGTGTAGTGATTCAAGAGTCTCAAAGATAAGTTGCAGATCCGCAATGGCGGAATCAAAGGCCGATTCGCTAGCGATGGTCCAAGCGCCCCAACAATCGTCGGCAAAGAGCGTGAGGATTTTTTCCAACCACTGTTGACTGCGGTGTTCTCTGAGTATGAGCATGAATGCTACTGTGTAGTAGGACCACAACAGAGGAGCAATAACACATCCTTGTTTTATGCCGTTCGAGGTTGTGGTGAATCCTGTGACATCCCCGACACGATAGTGGTAGCGGGCTTCAAAATGCAGGGCTTGAACAACGTGGATGATCTGTGGCGGGACTCCGTGGGTGCGTAGGGCTTCGTAGATACAGGGTCGGTTTGCACCATCGAACGCCCTTGACAAGTCCAGCGAAAGACACAATCCACCTGTGCATGGCTGCTGGGATTTGCCGGCCTGTAGCTGAAACCGGTTCACCGTGGCCTGCTGAAGAAGGGAGCTCACCTCAACGAAATGAGAGTGGGCTCTGAGGAGAGCATCAGCGGTTCCCCTGGCTTTAGTGAAGGCGTATTGGGGCAGAGTTTGCAGGAGTGGGTAGAGATATTGAATCAGCTGGTTACGCAGGAGGCCGGCCAAAAGCTTGCTGGTGGGGCATTGTAGTCCGATGGGTCGCATGTTGGAGACCATTGTCGGTGGTTTATTTGGCTTGGCAAGCCAGACTACATGTGTGTCGCGCCAATCGGCATCCAGCCGACCTGGAGACCCTTTCTTAAAGTGTGACCGGATACCACGACCTAGCAGTGGACTGATGATGTCTGCACAGATACGCCACGCCGAGGCCGGAGCCACGTGCTTCGGCACAGCTTTGCCCGCCCCAAGCCTAGTCAGCTCTTTGCAAACAGAGTCGTCATCCACTATGAAGTCGGCCGGCATGCAAGGGTGCGGCTGTGCGTCTGCTTGAGAGGCAAATGTCGTTTCCCCATGGGCCTGGATGGCTTGGAGTTGCTCTTGGGATGTGAGCAGCCTACCGTCCTGTGACTTGAGTCGGGAGAATCTGAGCTGAGTTTTGGGCGTGAGTCGCCGCACCACTTCATAAAGTACCCGCTGGTCTCCCTTGTTTGCTGCTTGTTCAGCTGTGTCAACAAGGGACAAAAGCTGTGATCGCTTTAGCTGTTTACTCTGCTGTCTAAGACGATTCGAGGCCTTGGCAAACTGGGCAGTCCGGTGCCACTGTCTCCAAATGCCTCGGAGAGTGCATACACAGGCTTTCTTAGCCAGGCGGTAGAGATGCCATGTTTGTCGAGCGGAGACCTGAAAAGCAGGGTCCGCACTGATACGGCCGTCGGCAGCTTTGCGAGCAGGGAAGACCGTGGCGGTCTCCTGCAGGAGCACACGATTAAGCTGCTGCTGCAACAAGACGAGATCCTGTGTGGGGATCTCCTGCAGACGGTCCGCGACCCGTTGTCGCAGGACCTCGGCACTGGGAGATTGCTCCCGGAACGCTTGCTGCAGGGCGAGCTTGTCATAGCTATGAGTGGCTGTCTGTCGAGGCTGTGACAGGAAGAACGGCACCACGGGGAGCTGTGCAAACACAGGGTAGTGACCCGATTGCCTATGTGCCCCAACCGGAAACCCAGTGATGGCGCGGGCCCACTTTGCCCGGCCTCCGGCTGTGCGGTGCCGTGTGGCAATGAAGTCAATCTGAGTGTCACCTGTGGGGCCATGGTAGGTGGCTGGGGTGGGGTCGTGCCAGGAATTAAGGACTACTAGGGCATGCCTGGAGAGAAGATCTTGCAGCTCCACATCGTATGTGGCAGGATTTTGCACAATGGCCTGACCGACTACCGGGACGCAGGGAGTTAGACTGGAGTTGAAATCACCACATAAAACAATCTCGCACCTTTGGGGGAGCTGGTTGAGGGTTTCTTCAAGCTGCTGCCAGATTTGTTGCCTGAGTGCACGGTTTTCGGCGGTGGAGAGCTGGCTCCGCCAGACATGCTGGTACACACCGATCACAGCACATGGCAAGCCGCTGTGGCGGAAGATGGATTGAACCAAGATTAGCCTACCCGGGATGATTTCCTTAATGTTCGGATCCCGAAACACACGTTGGTTAAGTAGAACCAAGATGCCCCCGAATCTGGAATAGTCACTGGGTTTCGAGCTGCCTGCCGTATGTATCGCCATCCAGCTGCCTGTGATGTAGTCACTTGTTGAGGCCCAGTGGGATTCTTGAACGACTACCACATCAAGTGAGGACTGCTGGTCAACCCATACCATAAACTCTTGATAAAGCGAGGAAGCAAGCCCCCCTGCATTCCAGGTCAGTACCCCCAGCCTTCGCGAACTTGGCGGGTCAGGTCGTCGGCGTTCCGATCTCCTGCGAGGCTGTATGCTAGGTATGGGAAGGGCACCTAGGGTTTGGGACGTGTGCCAACGTCCTTTGTACCAAGTGCCACCTGTGGGTGCCGTGGCAGCTCGCAGCCTTGCCCGGCGGTAGGCACGCTTTGCTCCTATGAGACTAAATGACGCTGGCGCTCTCGGATGCGCCTGTCCGCATTGCTTCCCCGCCGAAGCGGGTCCCCCTCCTGCTGCGGATGCAGGAGGAACCCTCGCTCCTTCTATCTCCCTAATACATCTAAATAAAATCAGGCGGTGGAGATATAGCCCGGATTTGGGACCGGGCCGGTCCTTGTGTGTGGCTTTGCGGGCACAGAGGTTTTCTCTCGCATGCTGTGACTTTCGGGATTTACTTGAGGGTTTATGGGACGGGTGGGGCCTAAGGGCGGGTCCTGTGGCGCATCGGTGCACCCACTCCGGACGATGCCAGAAGGCTGGCCAAGAGCACTTCCTGCAAGGCTGGCTGTGGGTCCTACGGGTCTTAAGGAACCTACGGAAGGGGCCTAGTGGGTGGAGAATTGCCGGCCTTTGGAACCGGATGGCTCGCAGACTACGGGGTCTATAGGGCACAGCTATTGGGGTGGACTGTCCTTCACTCCGGGCAGTGGTCGTCTGGCCGGCGGCGCCGCCACTCATGCGTGGCTTGGTGTTCGTATGTTCGCCAATCCACAAGGTAAGCTCCACGGAGTCGGAGGCGTGCTGTGTCTTGCAAAGCCATCCAGGTCTGGGAACGTCGTCGCAGGGCACCCAGCTGTCCACCCAAAGATCTGGCCGGGATGTCTGGATTGTCCTCCAAAGCCTGTTGGCGGAATAGTGATAGGAACGTCTCGAGGGCGTGGTGGAGGACTGGTCCCTCCAAGACCAAAGATGTATCGCTCCATGTGTAGCTTGCCTGGCTGGACTCAGAGCTGTCGCTGTCTTCGGATTCGGAGCCCTCATCACTAGGAGCTCTTTCGAAGGATCCATCCGGTAGTAGTGGCCCTTGAACTGGTCGGTCCAAGCAGTCTCCGGCTTGTGTCCCCCTGTCGCCTGCCGACGCGCTGTCGGTATGGTCTGCAGGGTTGTTGTCTCTAGTCGGAGGCCATGTCGTCCCGGCTGGCAGATTGACTGGCCTGGGAGGGGGAGGTCCCCGTGGCATAACGACCATAGGAGGCCCGTTGCCACCATCGTGTGGAGTGCGATCCACGTCTTCCAGATCAGAGTCATCTGCGTGCCATGTCCCATCGGCATCACTCATGTAAATTCACCGAAGAACCCCAACACACAACTGCGAAGAGGCCCCACAGCAAGAAGGAAACCCCGGGCACTCAACTTGGACCGAGGAGCTTGCATATCATCATCATCATCGTCATCATCATCATCATGATGACCATCCTCGTTAACTGATTCTGTTTGGCATCGTCAGCATCATTGTCAGCATTGTCAAAAATGGTGCATTGTTGTTCTGACTGCTACAAGAGTTGGTACTCCTCCTCTTCCTCATCGTCACTGAAAGCAAGGACTGCCACTGCCGCAAAGTGTGATGCAAACGTTCTCTTGGAGAGCGTTTGCGGACTAGAGCTGGACGAAGGCCGGTTTCGCAGTGCAACGCTGATTCTGATCCTGTGATAAGTCTGGGCTATGAGTTGTGCGCACGGCCGGCGGGGTGGATTTTGGGTGTGAGGCTCGAAGGCTCCACATAGAAGTTCTCAGGTCTAGGGCGAAGACTGCCCGCCAGCTTTCGTCCGAGAGCGTCGGTACTGGACTGTTCACGTGCAACCTAGGGGGCACGCGTTGCATTCGGCCGTCAACACACCCTGTCTGCATTAGTTTGCAGGATGTACTAATTAGATGTTTAGGGTTTAGGGAACAACAGGGCCACCCAAGGTAGTCACATGGCTTATCAAGTATGGGGGTTGAAATCCAGACAACACAACCGGTCTACACGGCATGAAACGTCCCACAACCCTGATACACATGAAGTCAAGGCTGTTCATGCAGCAGTAGTAGTAGTAGTAGTAGTAGTAGTAGTAGTAGTGGTAGTAGTAGTAGTAGTAGTAGTAGCAGCAGCAGCAGCACTACTACTACAACTACTGCTACTACTACTACTACTGCTGCTGCTACTACTATTACTACCACTACTACTACTACTTCTGCCACTACTACTACTGCTGCTACTACTACTACTACTGCTACTACTACTACTACTCCTCCTGCTACTACTACTACCACTACTACCACCACCACCACCACTACTACTACTGCTACCGAGACCTGGTACTACTGTCGGGGCGCTGCTGTTAGCTTGCTGTGGTTGCTGTTGTTCTGTTATTGCCACTTACATGTTCAGCTCTTCAACTCTAGGGCAGCTCGGGAATGTTGTCCGGTGTGCGGATCAGGCTTCTGGGCTCTTGTTTAGAAGAGCTTCATTGAATTGTTATACAGGTTCTGCATCGCTTCATGGCAAGGGCCGAAGTAACTGGAAGAGGGTCTTGGGCACAAACTATGTAAGGATGGTTTTGCTTGCAAGGTTCCTATGTTGATACAAACCTCAAGCGGTGCTTCTCGTTAGTACAGGGCTCACAGTATTCCTCTACACTGCTTTTGTCCCTGGTTTTTCTTGACTGCTGGCACCAACCAGTTCTCTCTGCAACAACTACACTAGGAACCGCTGAATGCAACACGGGCCGGGCTAGCAGCACCAGGGTACTCAGAACCGGGATCTTCTCAAATGCTGAAGCAATCGTCATTGAACGCTCTGGAAGTCGACATGTCCTGCTCCGGGCAGAATCTCTGCATTACGAGCATGTCAAGACACTAGCACTGTAGGGTTTAGGGTTTAAGGGTTTAGGGTTTAAATACCTGGTGTTATAGCTACTTCAGCTCCGAAGCGGTTCTCACACGCTCCGCGAACTGCGAAAGCCAGTGGTCAGCAACCTGCAACCACACAGCCCGGTAGAAGGAATCCTACCGGCTTCGGCTCTGAAATCCGTCAGTTGTCAAAAACGTAAATCTTTGAAAAGAGACTAGGATACCCAGTAACCTAAGAATATAAAGGCCTCTCTTTTTGGTATTGGGTAACTTTATAAGGAACCTTGGACTACAAAAAGGGAATAAGGGTACTACTCAGGAACCTAGGAGAGCTGTACGAATAGGGACCAAATAGGACCAAATGACACCTGCGAAGGAAGCCAACCGACTGACATCCCAATATGCTCACACAACCCTTCAGCCCACAGCCGTTGCACTGCTAGACCGTTAATACCGTTAAGATCTACTCACTCATTTGTATGCAACACGGGCTGTTAACATGCTGAATGCCTCGAAAAAACCCGTGAGCTTTGACGAGCTTGGCCTGAAAATTGTGCCCTGGGTCCTGTGCCTGAGGAGCCCGTGCTTGCTTGGAAACATGGAGCCGCTGCACACTTTCCAGTGCCGTTCGGGTAAACGGTTCCGTTACCAGTCCTCAAGTAGTCGGAGCAGTAAACTGAATCACAAACATTGGACCGCACACCGCTCTTCCAAAGCTGGAAGATGGATTCGTAATCACTGAATCCTGCTCAGAGCTGGCACAGCTTCAGCGACCGGAGCTACATAAATAATAACGAGACCCGAATATGTAAAATTAAGTAGAATCATAATTCAATAAAGAACCCCCGCAATAGCATTAATATTCAACATCCACTCGCAAAAGTTCACGCTTCAGCCCAGGATCGACGGGTGTAGCTAAAGGCGACAATCGCAAGAACTTCGACGATGACCTGCAGCTAGGCACGAAACCCTATCAACAGTCTCTACGAAACACGTCGGTGACGTAAACCCTTCGGTTTTTCCGATCCATTGCACATGTGTATCGATTTTAAGATTGACAATGGCTGTGGCCATTCAACTCCATGAAGACCCTCTCGAACGGCGAAGACCTTCAGCGACCGAAACATTCAAGCGAGACTTGCTGATGGCAGCCACGTGTGTGGCAGCAGCTGTTATTGCTCTGCTCTGGTCGCGGTAGTGTGTTGCGGTTGCTTTGGTTGTATCAACTGCTTTGCTGCTGCAGCCGCTGCTGTTGTCGTTGTCTCGCTGTCGTTGTCGCTGTTGTTGCTGTTGTTGCTGTTGATGCAGCTGTAGTTGTAGTTACTGTTGGCATTCTTCTTGATATTGTTGTTGTTGGTGGTGGTGGTGATGGTGCTTGGTGTTGGAGTTGGTGCTGGCGGCTGGTGTTGTTGTTGGTGCTGTTGTTGTTGTTGTGGTGGTGGTGGTGGTGGCGGCGGCGGTGGTGGCTGTTGCTGTTGCTGTTGCTGTCGTTGTTGTTGTTGTTGGTGGTGGTCTGTTGCTGCCGTTCTTGCTGTTGTGGCTGTTGCTGTTGTCGTTGTTGCTGTTGTTGTCGTCGTGTTTGCTGTTGCTGTTGCTGCTGCTGCTGCTGCTGCTGACACTTTCGACATGTGGCATGTCGTGTCTTGCCAAGTGACAGGAGCAAGCACGAGTAGGCTGTCGTCTGCGGAAAGTTCCCAGCAAAGTCGGAATGGCAGGAAGAAGAACAACACAGTCACGATGATAGGGATGGGGGTCAGCAGGACAGCAGCAGTGATGCGGTGGTAGTCCCTGAAAGGAGACGCACCAATGGTCCACAGAGTCCTTGGTGACATCCGTCACATTGACGGTGCATCGCAACAACCCACAATCATCATCATGCATTCGCTGTGGTCGGCACTGCCAGCCTTCTGTCATGTTAAAACAACGGCCAACTAGCACACAGACAGCAGGAAGTGCTTGAGGCTTCGGGCCGACGGGCCTAGGACTTAGGGCTTACCCAGACTCTGGATTGTTACACAATTTCCTGGACAACCCATAAGCTGGTTTGCTGCGTCAAGATGATCGGGTAACCACAACAGAATATATACAGTACTACATTCTAGAGCGTAGATGGGGATTGTAAGGAAGCAGGCCCTGCTCCACAGAGGAAGCACCCCCAGCAAAGAAACTACAGGTCAACGATCGTACAGGATCCCTCCCTCAAGTGCGAAATGAAGTTACAACACCTGAATCACATTCAATGGGTACAACCTCGGGAAAAGCCTTCAGCGATAAGTTTGAGTTCAAGCAGATGTCGCGAACATCTGCACAGACCCGGCAATTTGCAAGAACACGTGGGCGAATCTGATGATGTATCTGGCTCTCCAGGCATGCAAAGACCAGCCTGCCGAAAACTGCAAAAACATCAGATTAGTGAACAGCGTGTACATTCTAGAAGAGCAACAGCAGAAAGACAGAACAACTGTAATGACCAAATGCATATTACTGGAACAACATGAGTCGCAGCCAGTACACAAAGGAAACGAAGCAACCTCGTGCCAACTCCCAACACTTTCCGCGGTAACACCTGTAACCAGCATAAACTACTACTGCTCACAGTGCCGAAAACCCACAATAAATAGAAATATTCTTTATACAGACACACGACAAACTGAATCAGTCAAAAGCTTAAAGCCCAAACTTGGAACACCAGATACTGAACAGTATAGGCTCAAACCGCTACATTCTGCGCTGATGCCTCAACCCCAAACCCTAAACCCCACCTTCAAGGGAACTTGGGGGGAAGCCCAGGCTTCCAAGTGTGAAAGCGCAGACCGGGCCGTTCCTGAGATCTCGCGTTGCGCATTTAGGGCTCCTTCAAGGGGCTCAACACCGATTTCGGGTTTAGCAGTTCAGAAACCCTAGCCCCTAGATCACCACCCTAAACAATAACCCCCTAAACCCTTTTGCAACTGGCCTGCTGCGACTCCGCCAGGACGAACACTTGACCACAATCACTTAGTGAGTAAGCGACCCCCTAAACCCTAAACCCCTAAACCCTAAACCCCTAGACCCTAAACCGAGGGGTCTGTGAAGGGCTCGGTTGCGGGTTGAGGGGGTTTATGGATGATAGGGGCTAGGAAATTGGAGTTCGGGTGTCGAATCCAGAGACCATCTCCAACTGTGCTGTTTCCATAGGGCTCGACGGGAACGGTTCGGTAGTTTTGTATCTTGGCATATAGGAGAAGACTGCTCCTTTGATGTTGGGCGTCTACACTTCACTGCGAGCACTGATCACCCAAAACAAAAGGCTCTACAAACTGATGCTCGACCCGAAGTATCTGAAATTAGAGGTTGCATCCAGTAGAAGAGCTGACCGGTGCACAAGTTTTGGGGCGAAGGGATTCCGCTTCGGCTTGGTCCCGTTGCTCAAGTTCGAGGCTCATTCCGATCAACAGGTAGATGTACTGCCACAAAACATCGCCGCCCGACATCATGTCGAGGAAAACGTCAGCAAGCTCTTTGCGCACAAGGTGGTTGAACTGTTCGATCGCTCTGTCGATCCCGGCTTCCGCTTCCTTGCTGTCTTCTGGGTCTCCATACCACCCCGACAGCTTTTCCCAGATCAGCTGTCGATCGCAGAGTATGGGAGCTTTCGTCGCAGGATCCACGTGATCTACCTAGGTCCCACGAGTCCCGCTATTCATTCACTACTCGCTACTCGAGCATCATGCCGCACTAAACTTCCCAACCCGTACCTAATTAACAAGGATCAGAGGCACAGAACAGCAGTAGCATCTGGCTTCCCTCGCATCAAACATACGGAGCTGTGCTGGGAGGCGGCGAATCTTTGCAGTGAATTCAAGACCGAGGTAATTGTAAAAGGGAACGACCAGGCAGGCAACTGCAGCGAGAATGCCGATTCCATTCAAAACTGTAATCCCGGGGCTGGTCTCATTCTCGCTTTTGCTGCTCAGGTTGCTTGCTTCATCCCAGACCCGATGAACCAAGTGGAAGGCGCAGTAGCTGAGGCCAATGAGCAGTGTCAGAATGGACATCTCCACAGGCAGCACCTGAATGCGCCTTTTGGAACGGTCCCGGAGAAATGTGGCCAGCTCAAAAACACACCTGGGTTGTAGAGCTTGGGATTCAGGGCGTAGGGCAGTGTAGGGATATCCTAGCCTGAAAATGCGTGCCAGTTCTTTGCCAACGTGACGGTGGCAGATTCTAAAACTGCAATGTAGGCACGACCCACCGGTGCATATGTTAACTGCCATCACACATGTGAAAGTACTTGCAGGACCAGAGTGGAAACAGCTTCCCAATGTACCAGTAGTATACCTTCAGCGCTGCACAACCTTACCCCGAAACCACATCTTGAACTCTTGAACCTGCCACTGGCAGCTTCACACCGCCCAGAAGCCAACTAAAACAGGTACACCATGCATGCCTTGGATCGCAGCATGCAAATCCTTACCCGAACACGAAAAGCCCAAAAGCCTTGGTTGCCCTGCACGATCCTGCATGCCTGGTTTGGGTTTCGCGCCTTACGCATCCGAGACTATCCAGGGCTGAGCCACCAAAGTCTTCCGAAGTAGCGTTCCGACCATAAGACTGTCAGGGTTTGCGATCGGTCCAGATAGGAAGCAAGGCCCCGAATACACTCGGACTTCTTCTCCTCAGGAGGTACTCGTACTATTACCCTCAACCCTAAACCCTACACCGTATAAACTGCACAGTCTGTGCAAACTCTGTCTCATCGGTGCGGCAAAATCCTCTATATAGATCCTGAAGAACCCTATTCTTGGGGAGATGGTGTTTTGTAGTACATTATTCTCTCTCTCTCTCTCTCTCTCTCTCTCTTTCGCTCTCTATAACATGTATATAAGTACATACATATAACTATATATATATATATATATATATATATATATATACACATGTATATATATATATATCCTGCGTATACATAGACTCAAAAAGGGATATTAATACTAGTTCTTGGGACACCATGTGTTACTAAATCGGGCCTGCCGGGTTCATCACGGGTTTACGGCTGAGCTGATGGTAATTGATGTGAAGGTATTGCTTGTGGCTTGTTGTTCCCTCTGTTTTGGGGGCCATGGGCTGGGTTGTTGTTTATCCGGGTTTAGGGCTCAAGAGCTTTTGCTAGAATTTGAGATTTGGGTTGTTGCAACTTCACACTTTCAGCTGGAGAAAGCAGCGTAGCACTCAGGCGCTCCTTCAACCCTCGTATGTTCCGACATCTGCGATGTGGCCAACTGCAAACACTCAGTCCGAGATCAGTTCTTCAGATCGCATAAGTCAGGATCTCCGTAAATCGGGCTATCTTCCAGTTGCCGACAACCTGCAGTGAAGAAAACGCGATAGATAGAGAGCTAGGGAGAGAGAGGGGGAGAGAGAGAAAAAAAAAAGAAAAGAGAGAGGGAAGTTTGAGACTCCGTCCAGTCTGTTATCCGTAACCTTGCGGCAACTCAGCAATCGAGACTAAACCTGGCTGAGAACATGCCTCGTGGCTTAATTGAAAACTTGGAAGTCCTTTCCTTGACATCCCCAGCCCATGCTCCACAGACCGCAAAACAACAATACACGATGTGCCGCAAGCATCACACTCTCCCCAAAAAAGGCCGCTCAATTCTTGCATATGGAGCTTCGTTTTCGGGTGCGACGGGGTGTTCATAAATCTTAGAGCACTTCCTCACTGACTTTCGGGTCCTCATCGTCCTGTGGAATGCAGAGCCGGTCGAGGAAAACCAGGCGAGGCGAAACGATAACAGCCCGGATCTCTTGCCAGAAGACCTCAGAAAGCTCCCCCAGATTCTCTGCACTAAGCGGCCTCTAACAGCATTAGTGATTCCTACTGCATCTAGGTATGGCCTGGATTCAGTGGGTGCAGGTGTTGATTGTTGAGTGCTCGACTTGCTGGGACAGCTGGGATCTGGGTGTGTCAGAAGGAGCCTAAAGCTTCTCCAGGGGACGAGCACGACATAGTAGAGCGCGTAGCACGGAAGCTGCGTCCACACCAGGTTGGGAAGGATGGCCATCATGCGAAGCACGCCAACCAAAAGAGAAATCAGGATTGAAGCCACCATGGCGGCTTTCGCGTTGAAGAGGATGAGCAGGGAAAGATACTTCCTTCCGGAGAAGCTGAACTCTTCCAGATCAATGCATTCTGCCGTAAACCACCGTAGATTACTCAGTCTGTTGTAGGACGCTAAGAAGAATCTCAAGACAATCAGGAGTTACAGAGGGACCTCGAACGGATAGGTTTCTGAGGTAAGCCGCAACTCGTCACCCTCATGCCTCCAGCCACCCTAAACCCTAAACCTTAGAGCCTTCAATACTCCCGGCTGCCTACGAACAGCCCAGGCACAGGTGTCCGGAGGTCGCCCAGTCGTGGCTCAAGAAGTTATCATAGTACTCCTTAGATTTTAAAGGGTGTAGGGTTGAGGCTTTACGGTTGTATTCCTCACGCGAGGGTTTGGGTGTATGGTTATGATTGCATGAGAGAGTTTAAAGTTGAGGGTTTTGGGCTCCATATACTACTCAAGGACACATTTCAGCTGCTGCATTTGTTTTGCTCTTCGGCGGATCATAACGCCACCATATGTTGCAAGGTCGGCAAGCACCTTCCTGCAGAAAAGGCACACGGCACTTTGTGAGGTCGGGGGAGGGCTGGTGTTAGCGTTTAGGCATTAGGGTCTAGACTCTAGTCTAGACGACGACGATGGTGCAAATCATCAGGGGAGGATAATCGTGATATTGATGCCAAATGCCGCCTGGTGGCAATGACAAGGAGGAGCTGTATGGAAAGAGAAAAATGTTGTCTATGACGACCTAGCAGATTGTGGAGGCATTGGTGTAGATGTTGATGAGCGTGTTGGCGATGATGCTGCGGCTGCCGCTTCGCTGCTGACGAAGACGATGATGATGGTGGTGATGATGATGACGATGATGGTACTGATGCAACAAATTGCACTGATGGTGCTGGCGAAGACGGACACCTAAAACCAAAAAGTGATGGCGGCGAAAGTTGGTGGCGACAGTGATCCTGGTTGTGGATGAAACGAGGACGAAAGCGAACAGGAAGCAGGAAGTCAGCGGCATCTCCACTACTGCTTTCAAGAGCATCAGTCTATTTTGCTGCATGCCGCAAGGACAGACGACCTTAATGCCCTCCTGCAGCGACTGTTGCCGCGCCAGTCGTCTTCGGCGCCACGAATGCAAGCAAGCGGCTGTCGACACGACATGACCCGTGATCTTGGAGTGCTGCTTCCAATGCTGCCCAAAGCCACTTAAAACCACGGTAAGAGAGGCGCCTCAGCCGCTGCGGCTGCTTAGTTCTTAATAAAGTTTTTTACAGGCTCAGCTTGCGATGGTCGCGAACGCCTGGTGGTTATGCAACTGTGTCGTTTTCCAAGGATGCAGCCGCTACGAAAATCTTACACGGTCCTACGCTTCAACGATACCGCAGTCGACTACGACCATCACTACTACTGCCACTCACAGCACGGTGCTGCTGTCTCTCCTTATAATTTCAACAACGATAACAACAAGCAATACTACTTCGACGCCAAAAGCAACTACTACTACTACTTCTTCCACTTCTACTACTCCTACTGGACTGTATCGGAATGAGGGGTTACATTCCCGAAGTCTGCCCTCAACCATACGTGAGCCTCGGGGCGTGCTGTTTGGCTAGAAGAGACCGGATTTGTCTTTTCAGCCCGAGTGGCCCTGGATGCCATCATCCGGCGCGCATGCAGAGGCCATGTCTATCAAGGCAAGACATGGGAAAGGACTCCACTGAACCCTCAACCCAAAACCTAATCCCAAAGTTGTCGGGCTTCTGTAGAGCCGAGTTGAGGGCTCGCATTCTGAAGTGGAGATCAAGCTTATGCTTGCGACTGCTCCGCAATGTCTGCGTAACTCGGAGACAAGAGCTCTCGAACACTAGCATGCCCGCACCTACCTGCTGTCGCCAGAAATGGGCCCCGACATCAGCCTGGAACGCCCTTGGACCTGGAAATGTTGTAAGTGTAAGGTGATCGGTTTGGGCCTGTTTGCATCTTCTGCGCCTGGCGCTGTCGGTTTGCAGTGACTTCAAGTTTCTGTGAGGGTTGGGCCAAGTGCCACGCGAAACAGAGCATGCATCTCAGGCTGGCCCACACTACCAAAATCACCCAATGCCCAAAGGCTTGGGGAATGATGCAGTGCCCACAGAGACTACACACCGCAGCCGTCTACAAAATGCTATCGTGCCACGATTGTCTCTTTTCATCTGTGTCTGTGTCGCTTCCTGCAGCCGCGACATGTCAGAAACGACGTGCTAGATCACAACCCATGGCGCCAGGCGCCGGGCTTTTGGGCATTTAGGATCCTTTAAAGATAAGGGCTCCTTTAAGGGATCTACATGGCTTAGGGTTCTTTTGGGGCAGCATCAGGTGTGGTCCATGGTCTGTTTAAGGTGCACGGCCGCAGCCTCACAGCATCGGTCTGAGTGATACAGGGCCCTAAATAGTTGCCAGTACAATTTTGGGTTCCTTGGTTTGACTATAGTCCTTTATAAACCAAAGCCCTACTGTAATCATCAAGGCCCCTATGTTGCGCATGTTCCCCACTCAGTAACAGTTGGATAATGTTCATAATGCAGAGATATAAGGACCATAATTGTAACCCTATTATAGACTGTTTGTATGGGGGCTGCCTTTAATCCCGAGCCTGGCGCTGTCGCAGGGCTCCCGGAGAAGCGGTTTCTGCTGCACTCAACAGGGTTTCAAACTCTGCGAACCCTGGGCCCAGACCGTATATTCATCGCAAACCCTAAACCCTAAATACTAAACCCTAGACTTGCAGACCATTTCTATGACAGTTCATCTTCAGACCATAAACACTACGAATGCTGAACCGTGTTTAGGGTCGAGTGTCAGCCTGAAGGTACGAGAACCTGGAGATCCGACTTAAAGCAACTTCAAGAAAGACAAGAAAGCTTTTCATGCTGTGTCTGCACCAGAGATATCTGGAGTCTATGGACTGCAAGACTCTGCCAGATGAGGTAATTAGGGTTTAGGTTGTGAGATCCACGTTGTATCATCAACCACGCAGCAGAGAGCATCATCTCTAGCATGCCTTCGAGGTACGTCCGTCAGAGTCTTGTGGAAACATCGCTTCGGCTAAAAACTACCTTCTCAGGGGTTGCTCTATGTATATACGTATCCATGTATAGCGTTATCATTATCATCTTTAACCAGGTCGCACCAATCTGCATTCTCAGTTTGATGTTGTTCTGGATGCACGCACCCTGTACGACAAACGGCCACTACAGCAACACAGCCCGATGGCTTCAGGACTCAAGCTATAAGCATACATCATGATGCTAACTTCTGTAAAGATCTTCAAAACCTAAAGACTCGTGATAAGCTCCAAATGTTACCCCTCAACCCTAAACTTACAACCTAAGGTCTTCAGTTCTCTTTAAGATCCAGAACGAGGCACCCGAATCCAGAACAACTCTCCAGCATGATATGGGAGGTTCAGAAAACAGCCGGAAGCCCTTGTGTAGAACTCTGAACCGTAGGGTCCTCAAAACAAGAGCCTAAGCAAGGCACCGCTTGATTTTCTGAATACCCCACGTTGCTGACCTGGCTTCGGTATCCGAAAGCCGGCCAGCCATCGCTAGCTACTACTGGGCCTGGGACTGAAATACTCATAAGGACGCTTAGGGGGGTGGGGGAGAGGGGTAGGGGGTCTTAATACCAATAACAAGGACTTACTAAGACCCAGTTAAGGAAGTATATAGTCCCCCCCCTCCCCTCTACCCCCTAAGGGTCCCTATGAATTACTGAACCCTGAACTCTCCACCCCCCGGAACTCAGCTCAACCCTACTTAAAGGATCATGGGACTTAGTAAGTAGGTTACAATTGGGGTTTTAAGTCCCCCAAGTGGGGTTATCCTAATTATAACCTACCGTATAACCGTACTTACTAAGTCCCATGACCCTTTAAGTGCAAAGGAATCAAGCTGGTGTTCTCAGCGCTGAGTCCTCGCGCCTTGATGTTCCCTGCCTTCCTTCTGCTTCACACAGACGTTCTCACGGAGCCTAAACCCTGGAAAGGGATGAACGGAGTGTCGCATGGTTTCTGAGCAGCTGGTATGCAGGCGAATGTAGGAGCCTGATTAAGAAACCCTGGGCTTATAACCCCAAAATAGTAGAGTTCATATAATAAGGAACCCTCAGAAAGGCCCAAGATCTCTGAATCAGTTTCCTACGTTAGAAATGAGGCTTCTCCAAAATTGTTCCGCTCATGTGGCTTGGCTCCAACCCGTTCCCGGCCCAGTTTCTGCGCATGACACGGGTGCACTGCATAGCTCCTGCCCCAAGGTTCCTGAAAGTCCGCTACGGCCGGAGACCCCAAACCCGTAAACCCTAAACCTGTCGGGTCTATGGCTGGGGATATGCCGGATCTCCGGTAGAGAGATCTTACTCTCCTTAGAGTGGGCCAGGAGCTTGCATGCCCTCTCTGTGAGAATCCGGCAGCTGCGGTACAACCGGCGTCGAGTGTACCTGTCGCGAAAATCAACACGGTGGATGCAACCACGCATGGTGACGATGACGAAGCTGGCTGCTTCTACGGAAACAAAGACACCAACCCATGAATAGTGAGAGCAGACCACGCAAAAAGTCAAAGCAAAAACAGACAACTATTGCTAAGACGCACATGTGTTCAAGCCTGGGTCCAAATATAAGATGGAGTTTACGAAAATAGGGGACCCTAATATAGCACCTTAAATAGTAGGATCCCTATCATAAGGACCCCCAAGATAAGGTGCCCCTATTGTCGGAAACTCCCAGATATCATCGTTTGAAGTTTGTTATCCCAGGCAAGAAACCAGAACAAGGGTTTGCGGAAATTCAAGACTCGCTCTTTTATGAACAGCTTCGACACGAAAGCGGTCGGACTCGACATCCAGACTGCGATTGGGAATGTTTCTGCAAGCTGCAAGTAAGGATTGCGGATTAGGGTCGAGGGTTGAGAGGTTAGGGTTTAGGGGCCAGGAATATATAGTTTGAGTGGAGCCTTCCAGCGTATG